AAACAATAAACTCACAGTTAACATCCACGTGGCATTCTCAACCTCACGAGGGTTCGACTTCACATATCGGTGGTTAAAAGTGCATCCAGAGTGCATGTCCACTTTGTGGTCATCTCTCAAGTGTGAAACAAGAAAGGGTATATCCCCAGTGGCAGCACATTCGGACCCGGCATAGGGGCAATTATATGGTCTGAAATTACAAACTGCCTCGTGCTTGAGTTTGCTGTAGTAAGGAAATATTTCTGGGCAGCCCAAAGAGTAGTGCTTGCAGGGAAGCTCGAGGGACTCGGCAACTTTCTCTAAGGCCAAACATCTGATATCCCCAAGCTCTTGCCGGCAAGTGGGGCATCGGTTATGCACTCTCACTTTGCAAGTCGAGCAAAGAGTGTGCCCGTTGTGGCACTGAACGAAATGAACGAAAAAACAATCGAAATTGTCAATCATTTGAAATTGTGTACAACACCTATTAGTGTGATATTTGGAAATATAAGTAATTTTTATTCTCTATTGCTCTCTCATTATATAACAATCAGGCAGATTAACAGAATATAATTATAACAAGAATTCCCGTATTTTTTTTTTTTTATATGAGGAACCCTAAAACGATATTCTTGACCTCGTGTTCTCAGGTTCATTACATTGAACAAAATCCACGGTTTTGTTCGCATTTCTATCTGCGGAAGGTCTGAATTTTAAGATTCCCAATCAAGGACACATCAAGGAACAATCAGCACAAACAATTAGTACCCACTACACAATGGAAACCATTATTGACATGGAATCTCTAAAAGCCAATTTCTAAGCTATGAACAAAAAAATCAACCTCATTCAAAACTTCAAAGCTATTCACATCACCATTTCGATTGTTCTTCAACAAAAGGGGCACAAACACAACCAGAAAATGACAAAAATTGCTTGCAGAGGTCAAATATATTCAATTCTAATTCAAACAGAAAATATCCTCAGAATGACATCACATACAAGCACACAAATACACACAAAGAGAGAGAGACCTGATGGATTGGTGGGTACATAGAATTAGTGCAAACTGGGCATTCGAGCAACTCATGAACACTTGTGGGTCCAAGCCCAGATGAGATTATGTTATGGCGCTTTGAAGAATATTGATTTGGATTAGAAGATACGGCTGCCCGGATCTCTTCGTCCTCGATCCCATCAGATGAAGATACGCACTCCACATTTTCTATGTCAATTGCTGCCATTTTTTGGGGAAATGAAAAATAAAAAAAAAAAGGAAAAATAAAAAGATCTCCCAAATTCCTAGCTTCAGACACCTCTGTAGCTCGATCTGTTTAAGATCCAAACGCAAAATCTTGAGCAGACAAATTTCTTCTTCAACAATTTCGAAGACCCATTTTCAGAAATTCAACAATTTGGAGAAATATCAGATGCCCATTCTGAAAGTTTGATCTTTGACCGAAATTTGAGATGCCCTTTTCGAAAAATCAAATCTTTCTTTGATTTAATAGGCGCATTTAATCCTTCACCCTTCACTTTAATTTCTTCGGCTTGTAATTTTTCAGACAAATCTGAATTTTAGAGAACCTGATAAAAAAAGGAAAATGGAGATGAAAGATCGAGAGATCGGCTCGAATAGAACCAGAAAAAGAAGATCATNATGATTGGTAAACAACATTAATAATTTTTTTTTTTATTTTGTTGGCTTTTTTTTTACATGTGATTGTCAGCTAATTTGTTCAACTGTTCCAATCTAAATGTTATAGGTGGTTTCTTTCAGTCAGAAAAGAGTATGAAATGCAATTACTAGTTTAATAGGACACAATTTCTGGTTTGGTGTAATTTTGGCACATATGCTGTCAGAAAAGATGGCAATTGTTACTTTCAAAGAAGATATATTAGAATTCAATATAAATAAAAAATATTATTTTATAGTATAATTAAATCAATATAAATAAAAATATGACATTTTATAGTATAAATAATACGAGAGTCACATTTTAAATAACATCCACACAAATAACATCCACATACCACTTTTTTGTATTTTTTTGTTTATGGAATTCTTGAAACACTAAGAAAAAAACAAAAACAAAAACAAAAAAGGATTTTGAATTTTAAAAATGCAAAGACCGTTGAACTCTGATTGGACCAACTAAGGGCGCGTGCTTGTTTATGAAATATTTCATTCAAAATGAGTTATTTTAGTTAATTAGAGTTAATTTTGAAAAAGTAGTATGGTTAATTGTTAGTGGGATTTTAAGAATGTATTAAAATAATATTTAAAATAAAATGATTAAAATTGATTTGATGTAAAAGTAAGAGATAAATGATTGAAAATGATTTTAAATGATAGGTAGTTAAAATTATGTGAGTGGATGAATAGTGATAAGTTGATGTGATGTGTAAGAATGATTGGTTTTTATTATTTAATTATATGAATAATATTAAAGATAATGGGGTTGGGTTAAAGTTGAGTTAGATTTTGAATATGAATTGGATTGAAAATAAAATAATTTGTAAACAAGCATGCCCTAAAGTTTTAAAACAGCTAATAATAATATTAGTTGATACCAAAAGCTACCCTTATTAAAGGGGTGGTTGAATTGAAACCTAGCAATTTGGCACTATATTTAATTTGGGAGGTTGCCAATGAATTTATTCAAGCGTAATGTAACAGCAATTCATAAACCAAAAGAAGAAAATGGCAACAGGTAAATGACATGAATCAAGTTTGGAAAAAGTCTCATTTTATGAATAGATGGGATGGCACCAACAATAGAGCAATAATTGGTAAAAATTGATGTAAGTACAAAACCCAACATTAAATACATGCCATAAAATGTTATTTTTCCTTCATTGTTAAACATGGATTGTCATTTTGGTCTATCAACTGNNAATCCAAGCTACTCAGAGGCTAACAAGTTTAATGCTGTTAATATTTTTGTCCAAACACGGTTTGCCCAAACACCTCACAAAAATGTTTAAAAAGAAAAAAAAAACCTTTTACAGTGCATTTTTTTGTGAAAAAAATCCATGTAAGCCCATTGGGTGATAATGCCATATGCTTTACAGTTTACACAAAATGCACACGAGAGTCTGAAAGTGAAATTTAACTCTCCCAACACTCTGAAAGTAATATTATTACATTATATCACAATAGGACTTTTCACTTGGAGCTTTCTGCAAAAACCATGTTTGAAGAAACCCAGGATTGAGACTAAGATGTATTCCTGGGAAAAGGAGAACAATTGCAGTTATTACGAAAAGAAAAAGAAAATGAAGATGATGGTACAAATGTTAAATAGAAAACTAAACAGTCACAACTCACAAAGGCTAATTTGGCTTTGGGAGAAATATTAACAAACTGCTATTTTAAATGATCATCATTTGTTCAGACAATTACAGGACAAAAAAACCTCACTTCAGCTTGAACATGGAATTTCTGGCTTCATTAATTGCCGCACGAGCAGCGTACACAACGAGCTTCTTCACCTGCAAACATGTGAAAAGATTTAAAATTGAATTCAGTTTAAAAGCTAGTAGGAATAATCACTGAGCAAAATTTCGATTTTTATAATCGAACTTCACTTGAAACCTGAAGCTATTCGCTTCACCTAATGATACTCATAAAATAGAAACAAATGCGAACTGGTTATATTCTTTCAACACTTTGTAGTAAAACAGTAGCAGAAAGAAATCTGGCAGTTAATAATAAGTACCTCAAGAATATCTTGTTTTGATCTATGAGAATCTTGAAGCTTACGAAACTCGTTTGTTAATCGGAAGCATTCTTGAACGTTATCGGGAGAAACAAAGTCCACTGCAACTTTAGTGCACGACTGGCAAAAAACCAAAAAAAGAAAAAAAAGCAGCATTACAGAAGATGAATAAATGCAGTGAAGTAGTTCAAATTGACAGAAAAAAATACAAATATTCTTTATAAAATAAAAAAGGAAGGAAAAAAGAAATAAAGAAAGAACATAAAAGATAAAATCGAAAACTCTAAGATCAAACCTCGTACTATATGAAAAGCTCACCATTCTATTTCTCAATTGATGAGGACAACCAGCAGGAATGAACACAGCCTCACCAAGATGTTGCTCAAATGTCCAAGCTTCAACGTCTAATTTAAGAAAAAAATAATAAGCTTTCGGTTAATTTTCTGCTCGGATAATTATGTTAAGACACGAACGAATATACGTATATATATACATATATAACTCACCAAATTCCTCCTTCAATTGTTTTTTGTGCTTCTCATCCAAATAAAACACCTGGTCATGTATAGGATGCACAACCTATATAGCAAAAGCAAAAGCTCAATAAAAATAATCACTCTTTTTGCCTTATAACAAAAAAAAAAAAAATAGTGGATTGTATTGAGTACTAACATTATTACCCACTCGAGAATTGTTATGATGACGAAATTCTTCCCGATGCTTTAGCAAATATTCGGTTATTTTCGGCGCATCTTTCCTCCGGAAAATGTCCCAAACAGCAGCCCCATATGCATTTTCCGACAAAAAGCTTTCGCCTTTTTCTTTATCTTTTGCCATTTGTTGATCGGGACCTTTTTCTTTAACATCACTCCTCAACTTTTGAATCACTTTTTTCTGCCAAGATGGTGTTTTTACCTCAGCTGTGTGGGTCAATATGTTCACCTGAATCAAGAACTCACCCACACATTATTATTATTACATACATT